TTGCTATTGTCTGTACAGTATATCAATTAGGTACTGTAAGTCTAATACAGTACAGTAATTTTATACATTTCTTGTGAAAAAAACATTTTTTACTCAACGGCCATAAAAATTATTTCTATTAATGATGTCTCCAAAGTTCAACAAATTTTTTGCAGAAAAATAACTTATCAGAAAACGCGTCAGCCATTAGGTACACTGCTCCGCGACAAAAACAAGCTTAAGCAATGGCATGGTCGAACGGTGAACTCTCAGTTAGTAATCCTACAATTTTTTGTTTATACCATAGTTTATATGGATTATTTAAAAAATGGCAATGGCATGGTCATTGCCATTTTTTATATATACGTGTTTTGGAAATGTTGAGTGAAATTATTCTAGAATCGATTAATTTTATGCAAGAAAACCTTTTAAACAGCTGTATTCCATAAACTACACACGTGTGGTGCTGTGAATGGCTCATGTATTTAAGGATTTCCACAACATGAAATTCTTATAAACTGGAACGTATCTACCGCGTTATAGGGGGTTGACTGTACTAGAAATGACTGTATAACATTAACGCATATTGATTTTCTTCTGTTGATTTGTTGTAAAATATATTGTTTAGGTGCTTAACTTTTAAAAGTATAATGTAGTTTGTTGTTTAATAAACTTTTCCTTCATTCTTTCCTATTATTCGACATTTTTGCTTATCCATAGTTTTGTCTGCCTGTTTAGGTTGGATAATCCAGACTCTACTGTATATGTAAAGGCACATTTTAAAAACCCATATTTTACGAAAATTAGAAAATAAAACAACCTGAAAACTTAGAGACGAGCGAAAAATCCAAAACTGGGTTTTAAAATCTGCTCACGACGCGTCTCGATCTCATTCTCCAATCTTGTTTGGTATCGCTGCTATTAAGCGCGATGTTTAAAACATCGCTGGCGATGGCCACGACCAAGAAGACGTCCACGATACATTTCCGGTGACATTAACCTATCCAATTTCAAAATTTCTCTCCGTTGCGTGTCTCTCCGGATTGAATTTTTGCCTATGCCTAACGAAAATTTCCCGTTTTTGAAAAAATAATCGTGGCTATTGTATCGTCCGAAATTAGTTTTTTTATTTTGCAAAAACAATATACAGTTTAACCCGATTATAA